CAGTTGGGGGCGATCAGGCTGGCAGACAGAGTGGTTGGGGGCGATCAGGCAGGCAGGCAGGTGAGCGGTTAGGAGCCAGTGGTCCCAAATTGTGAGAGGGATGTCCAACTGCCGGTGCAGGGTTGGGCCTAAACTGGCAGTCTGACATCCGCCGAGGGGTCCCAGATTGGAGAGGGTGCAGGCCGGGCTGAGGGACCCCCACCCCCCTGCACGAATTTTCATGCACCGGGCCTCTAGTTATAAAATAAAATTCTCTCAATCACATATCACTGCTCTAAAATATAACCAGAGAATCTAAAGGACCATACAGCCTGCAATCACTTGCCATGAAAGACTCTATCCTTAATATCAGAATCAGACCACAAATGAGCCTAATATTCTATAATCACACAGGCACCAGACATTCAATCACAAAAACCAAGAGTGTGGAAAGCAAGATGAGTATTATTATTCAATGAGGATCAATTAGCAGTTTTGTCGATACCAGAGGGAAAAAAATCAGTAAAGTGACAGATTGCCTTTGTCTTAATAATTCCCACTGCTCAATCAAGGAGCCCCAGAGAACATCCTCACCTACTGTAAGACGGGTTTGGATTTAAGACCATGTTTATGTACCTAACAAGCAGTCTCAGAGAGAAATGTCTTTCATGTGTGGAGCTAGTCCTCATTTCAGCTGGGCAGAAATGACAGCCTTGCTGCCCCAGGTCCTGACCATCCAATGAGAATGAAGGGATAAGTGATTTTATACCTAATGCATATCATCAATGAAGCGTGTGCATGAGCACATATACACACACCTTTATGTAAACTCTTAAGTCACAGCAAGAATCTCTAGAAATAATCCTGTCTGGAGAAGAGAGAAGCATTATTCTTTCAACAAAAAGTTAATAAGAACCTTCTAGGGGCCATCATGTGAATTGAAAGTTAAATACAATAGAGAAAAAAGCAAATATTTATTGAGTGCCTATGAAAAGTACCGTATTACAACCTTAAGTACATACATAATTAACCACAGTACATTTTACTAGGCACAGTTTATAAGTAAGGAAGCTCAAGGTCAATGTCCTTAAAGATACTTGTATCCGATCATATAGCTAGCAAGTCACTATGTCCTGACTCTCAATGACTCAAAGGACTATGTCAATTTCATGACACCATCCTGCCATCTATCATCAGGTACCGCCAGTCATGTGGGAGTCAGGTTCTGTTAATCAGAAACATAAGTAGGCAGATGCATCTTTCCTGAATAATTGCCTATCAGTCTTTTACAGCTATCCTATTTAAGGGCCTTCTGTTTTGAGCTTTCAAAAAATAGACATTGGGGGAGGGAGGTGAATCAGAGAATCCATTAATTATATAAGGTATATATTTTTTAAATAGTACCAACTTTCTTCGAAAAGTATAAGTTCATTTATAGGACAGAAAGTATTTACCTGGAGCCTTGCCACGGTTAATTATTTTAACCTCTTTACTATACACTTTACTATTGGCAACCAAAGTGCCAAAATCAACATCTGGCTTCATTTCCAATTGACAGGCTGGAATCAACCTAGGAGAGGAAAGAGACCACATAATGAATTTTAACAATTAATACTTTGTGGTTAAATCTACAGGGATACATATAAAGACACTCATGTCTTAACTTCTTAAAAGACATTTCAGTTTCTTTCCAGGTCTACTGGTGGCACATTTTTCAGTAAAAAGAATTGTTAAATAAAGACATGAAAATAAGATGAGACACATTTTTAAAAAAGAAATCAGACTTTATGCATCTAAGTATGTAGTAAACCCTCCCAAGTACTCACCTTGAGAAGCTACTCACATGTTTTATATTTTTTTTTTTTTTGCTTTTTTGGAACTCTGCTTTGGAATCTCCACCTAAGCCTATAAAATGCATTCTCTTGACCCTCCTCAAAAAGGGGGAAATGGACCTTAACAAAGTAAAATAGTTTGGGTGATGCCAAATCTGATTAAATAAAAGAAGGTGTGATGATATAAAATATCATTTGAGGATGAAAACAAGGTCTAAGTACAAAAAGATTCAATTGATTTTTTCGTGTGTGCTTGATTTAAAGGGTGCAAAGTAGCATATCTGTAGTATACATGTTCTAAAAATCCATTTAATCCTAACACATGTTTCATACATATATTTTATATTTGGATAATAATTTATAGTTTATAAAGCATTGTTAATTATATTATCCTGTTTCATACTAAAATTTTCTGAAAGGTTATTAAATATTATATGGCTCCTATGTTACAGATAAAAAACCAAAGACTTAAAAAACCTACATAATTTATCTAAGGAATTATGAGGATACTAGAGGCCTGGTGCACGAAATGTGTGCACTCAGGGGGTCCCTCAGCTCGCTCTGCACCCTCTCGCAGTCCGGAAGCCCTCGGGGGATGTCTGACTGATGGCTTAGGCCCGTAAGCCAGCAGTCGGACATCCTTAGAGCTGCCACGGAGGTGGGAGAGGCTCTCTCCACTGCTGCTGCGCTCACCAACTGTGAGCCTGGCTTCTGGCTGAGCAGTGCTCCCCCTGTGGGAGTGCAATGCCCACCAGGGGGCAGCTCCTGTGTTGAGCGTCTGCCCTCTGGTGGTCAGTGCACATCATAGCAACCAGTCATTCCACTGTTTGGTCAATTTGCATATTAGCCTTTTATTATATAGGAAGGAGGATAATGTTGGTGAATTTAGCCTTGAATCCATTTTGCTAGGCTTTAAGTACAAACCTACCAATGCTAACAGCACCAATAAGTATAGTAATAACTGACCTTTAGAGACATGAATTAAGTAATTTGTTTCATATACGATACAAACTTAAAATACATATATACACACAAAATACATAAATAAGAATACCTGAACAAAACATTCACATATACTGCCTTATGTACTGGTGTTCTAGGCCTTCTTGATGTGATGTGTTTATTTGTCTGTATATTATTGGATAAGTACAGATATTCCAGAGATCAGCCAAAACTGATCTATATATGCTACATCTTCTAAGTAACATCAATGTTCTTCTCATAAAGAAATTATGATTTTGTGACAGGAAAATAAAACATAAATGGCTTACTGTACATAACTGCATTAATAAAAAGGTTAACTAATTACATAAACAATATTAAGATGTGAAGCCAAACATTTTTTCAAACTTTCTCTAGTTGGATGAAAGAAATTGTCTTCAGAATATTTTCTTGCCTGGTCAGCATGGCTCAGTGGTTGAGCATCGACCTATGAACTAGGAGGTCATGGTTCAATTCCAAGTCAGGACACATGCCTGGGTTGTGGGCTCATCCCCAGTGGGGGGGCATGCAGAAGGCAGCCAATCAATGAGACTCTCTCATCATTGATGTTTCTATCTCTCTCCCTCTCCCTTCCTCTCTGAAATCAATAAAAATATATATATTTTTAAAGAATATTTTCTTAAGAATTCTCTCTCTCTCTCTCTCTCTCTCTCTCTCTCTCTCCCTCTCTCTCTTTCTCCCACACACACACGAAGTTTATCTTAGTAGTAAGGGCTTGGTAATACAGTAATGTATAACAGTTTCTCTGGTTTTCTATTGGTTTCTTTTCCATCTGATTAAGAATAGTATTTCCAATAACACTGAACCTTTTATGTTAACAGAGAGTAGTGGTTACAAAGGGCTAGGAGGTAGAGGAATTGGTAAGATATTAGTCAAAGGAACAAAATTGCAGTTAGATGATGATTAAGATCTGGGTATATAATTCATAGCTTTATGATTATAGTTAACTACTGGCCCGGTGCATGAAATTCGTGCACATTAAAAGGGAATTAATTAGAGGACATATTTTAATATTGCTATTAAAATTTGTGCACATTAAAAGGGAATTAATTAGAGGAAATATTTAAATATTGCTATTTGCTCTTTCTGTATAATAGAAGTGTCAGAGATGAAAGAAAATTAGTAAAATGTATGTGAAAATCTTCCCCGTCAGAGTCTTGGATGTGCCGCATCACCTAGAGTCAAGTCTCTGCCTACCACCTGCACATGCTTGGAAAATGCAGGAGACCCAGAACCAGCCGGCCCCACCCCTGTCAAGCCCCTCTGGGCGGGGGGCACAGCCTCAGGTTCGTCAAGCCCTGGCGGGTGGGGGGGGTGCAGTCTCAGGTCCCCCATCAAGCCATGCCAGGCAGGGGGGAGGGGGACGTAGCCTAAGGTCCCCGGGCCCGGTGCCAGGGCAGGGGGTGCGGCTTCAGGTGCACTCACCCAGCCTCAGGTCCCCCAGCCCGGTGCCAGGGCAGGCGGCGCGGCCTCAGGTCCCCCAACCAAGCCTCAGGTCCCCCAGCCCTGGCGTGAGGGTATGAGGACCATTTGCATATTAGCTCTTTATTATATAGGATAATGTGTTATATACATGAAAGTTACTAAGAGACTAGATCTTAAATGCTCTCATCACAAATGAAATGATAATTCTGTGATGTGATAGAAGTGTTAGCTAATGCCACAGTGGTGATCACATTGCAACATATAAATGTATTGAATTAACACAATGCATTCTGTAAACTTATAGAATGTTATAAATCAATAATATTTCCATTTTAAAAAGGAAAAATATTAATTTAAAGGTATCAAACTTAATAATTTATTTATGTAGTTAAAATAAATTTAGATTAATATAATTCATAAAAATTTTAACGTTTTTATGATTACAGTAAATCTATTTCTATACATATTTATTTACATACTGCATACACATGTTCATATGTACATATACATATATACATGTGTAAATTGCATACAAATTTATACACACAGATAATTGCTGGTGATCAGTATAAAACTGCTAAGCATAAAAATGTAATACATTAAGCCCTGGCTGGTATGGCTCCGTTGGTTGGAATGTCATCTCATGCACCAAAAGGTTGCAGGTTCAATTCCCAATCAGGGCATATAGGAGAGGCAACCAATCAATGTTTCTCTCTCTCCTTTTCCCTTCTTCTCTCTCTAAAAATAAAATAAGGTAAAACATTACGAAAGGATCTAATTGGGAGAAATGGAATGGAAATACAAATTTGAAGAGAAAACATGCGGTAAATTTTCAACAATTTACAAATTACTGTTGTTTCCAATTTTACTGGACACATCTGAAAGAGGCATGTAACTATTTTATAGAACATTTTTTATATACTTACATCTTTGCAAGTATTGATACTCATAATGAAAAACCTTCGAAAAGTTTAAATATGCAAGAGGGATATAGCTTTTAGGAATACATGAAAAAAAAAGGGTTCAAAGTTACTGATTATATCATTTCTCTACTGGAGCACTTTGGAAACACCAGATAATACAAACATCTGAGTTTCAGACCAGAACGTTTTTCCATGTTCCTCTACACTAAGTAGGACTATAAATGCTAGAAATGGTGCAAAAGGCAAGCAAAGGAGAATAGTGAAAGTTGGTGAGAAGGTAGAACTGGTTGGTTTGGGACTGAGGATTGAAGGAAAAACACAAAAGTCCAAGTTAAAGCTCTGATATTGAAATGGTGAAAATTAAAAAGCACTGACAGCAACAAATGCCAGTGAAGATACAGAAAAGCAGGTTACTCATATATTGCTCACTGAAATGTAAAATGATACAGCCATTCTGAAAAACAATTTGGAATTTATTTTTAAACTAAACATGCAACTACCAAATGACCTAGCATATGAAAGTGAAAATTTATTTTCACACAAAACTTGTACATGAATGTTCATAGCAGTTTTATTTGTAATAGCCAAAAATTGGAATCAGCCCTGACACATTTCAACAGGTCAATGGTTAATCAGTGGTATACTAATACCATGCATTAGTATTCAAGAATAAAAAGGAGAACCAAGATGGCAGTGTAGGTAAATGTCAGTACTTACCAGTTCCTACAACCACATCAAAATTACAAGTACTAAATTACAGAACCACCATTCAGAACTACCTGAAAGCTCACTGAATGGAAGCCCTACAACTAGAGAAATAAAGAAGAAAGCACATGGAGACTGGTAGGAGGGGCAGAATGGTGGAATGGGCTGGTCTGACATCAACGTGTGGTGTTTTTCTTTAACTGGGAGGAATATCTCAGCTGTGAAGGCCTCCTGTGAGGAGCAAGGCGTCAAAGCCCCACACCAAACGCCCAGCCCAGGGTTCCAGAGCTTGGGAGAGAAATCTCCATAACTTCAAGCTGTAAAAACCAGCAGGGATTACAGCTGAGGGATAAGGATGCTGCTGAAGAACCAGGCAGTTCCCCTTAAAGGGCCAGTGCACAAACTTACACAGAATTACTCCTCCTGAGATCCAGTGCTAGCGTAGCAATTTGGAGGTATCCAGAGACTTAAAGGTAGGAACTGAATTGTCTGGCATCAGAGCAAGAACTTGGGAGTGACATTCTTCTAGACAGGCATGTTAGCAGAGGTCACTATTCCTATGCTGTGACCTCCCCCACCACAGAGCTGACTGGCAGCCACATCTCAGTTTCAGTAAGCCTGATTCACACTGTTCACTCCATCCTGGAGATTCCCTGAGACCCCCACCCCATTCAATTTGCAGC